AGACTTGCTTAATAAGACATAAAAACTTATTATCTCTTCATGATACATGATCATTGTGATAAGACGGTCTTATAATTACTTGAAATATTGCTTCCATTTATCTAACATTTTTCCTTTAATCTTCACTCTCTAATACTGTCTTTCGACGATTTTGATCTGAACTCAGTAAAAGAAAACCTGTGAAGAAAAAAGTACAAAAAGAAGTAAGAAAACACATAATGAAAATGGTGTAACGGTGCCTAAGAGGAGAGATAGTAAGATATCACGTGTATCCAAGAGAATGCAAACAGTTTATATTCTCTGTGAACCGTATTTCTTCGAATAATAAGCGTCCTCAACCGAATAAGCGCTCCGCCCCCCTTCTCCTTAATTTTCTAAAAGTAGGGACTTAAGGAAAACCTACTTTTACCACCATTTCATTTATCTACAGCAGCATCAGTACAGGTTGGTTGATTTTTAATAAGTAACCCCGGCTTTCGATAAGAGCCCTCGGTAAGCGATAATAGAGGTATTATTTTTAGTGGTAGATGTATCTTTCTTTCCTTTTAGGTCATGGCCGTGAGAAAAGATGTAAATCATTTGAATTTAGAAATTTTGCCGCTTGTGGTCCAGAAGGTGCAAGAGAGATGAAGAGATGCCTGATAAAGTTGTTAGACCGCCAACGGCTGTGGAATGGATCGGGACGTTACCCAAATTATAAACTGGAGTGTAAATTCCAATTACGTTATTCTTATTACGTGGTCGACTGCCTGCCCTCCGGCCAAAGAAAGTATCAATGTAAAGGAATAGATCATATGTCAAATTTCCTTGGCTTTTGCTGTAATATGAAATGTTGATACCAAGGAGATGATACTTCACGATACTTCATGGATAAGTCGATAAAAAATCGTCAAACCTACCAATTAAAATTAGACTTTCTTTAGAGTTGACAGATGACTTTTGACTGAAAACCAATCAACGAGGGCTTAAATGATATTCGGCTGAGTTTGAGTTAATAAAAGAAAAAGGAAAGATAAGATATGCTGAATATTTTCTTACTATAACCAAATACCTTTATTACTGTCTCATTCATTGATAATTCTTCCGAGAATAAAACTGACTCTGGCATTTTCATCCCCCAACGTCTTTGATTTTTGTAATAACAACTTTTGGTTTTTTTTTATTTTTTTTTTTTATTTCGATGTGGTACTGAGGTGTAATGACAAAGAAGAAATGAAACTTCTCCGGCACGTGTACATGTTGTGCTTCTGCAGTCGGACCATTTTTTTCACGTGACTTTACGGCCGGGACGAGAAACTCCGCGCTATGGTGATTTTTTGCAAAAGATTTGAGCTCGTTCATCTTTGCTCTTTACTCACTGTGATGAACCAAAAGTAACAAATGAATAATCACTCAGTGAAATAGCTCCTTTCAGCTTGTAAAACCGTTCTGAAGAACAATCGTTTTCTCTCCTCATAAACTGAAATAAAGGATAAGCGATAATTTTGTGGTTTTAGTCGCTCGGGCCGCTTGGCAGATAACTTTATATAATTCTGTCCCAACCTCATTACTGACCTACTTGGGGACTTTTCAATCCTGATGCTATGCTCAACGACGTTTAATAATACTCTCCCGTTTTTACAAAGAAACATAGAAAACCTGAGTTGGACATACAGACATACAGACATTTGCTCCGACGAAGGGCTAACGCTCGAAACGTCAGCTTTTGTAATCGTTACGGTGGCCAATTTACCATTTCAACTTTGTTGATATATCCAAATTATACAGACAGACTGACAGACAGTCATACACTACAGCTGGGATTGCTTGTCACTAGCATCAATTACGCGCGTCTTTTTCAAATATCGGTTCACGTGTTCTCAGAATCCGCGGGTTACATTTTTTCTCCTGATTGCGTGATTTTCGTGGCCAGTACAGGAGACGCAATGGAACGCTGAGGAGTCAAATGCACCTTAAGGGTTCGGCGTAGAGAAGAGAGCCAAACTGACTCACAACACAGTTTTTGTAGTCAACCAAATGCACATCGGCTGAAAGCCCTTACATTGATTATTAATTTGGTGATAGCAAGAGATAATCTCTCGGGTGATAGGTAGTAAGATTTGTCGAGGAAAAGAGGAAGTTAATCGAAAATGCTACCCCAAAGTCAACTCGTGTAACGGTGCTGAT